GTCCAGCACTAGCCAATAACTTCCCATCTGAAGAGAAATGACAGCAAATAACTTTGCTATTGCTTTTACGTATTGAACCCACTTCACCAAAGCTGAAACCTGTGACGAAGAAACAATAGCTAGGATTCTGGTTACTTTAAATAGTCATATATATAAAACTACAAGTACAAAAGGATAAATACCCTTGGAAGTTTCAGCAGCATGCTCAGAAGGGTTTCGTTTTAATGAGCCAAACAAATCCCTTCCATCTCCATCATCAGGTGAGAGAAAGGATTCCACATTATCGTCTAAGGAGCCAACATCTCCAAAATGGTCCATATCTTCCTGCAGTATAAAAATTTTAATTTTTAAAGGAGAGAAGCCTGTTTGTTTTACAAGAACTACAAATGGAAAAGGGTTCATATGTCCACATGACAACCTTGGAAATTAAAATTCTTGGAAATAGGATTCCTCATAATTCTCAGTCAATTGATGCAATGAGGAGAGATACCTAGGTGAAATTTGTAAAGACAAAAGTTTTCATTTGAATGTTGCTTTGAAGATGTTATGCTTTTTAAAACTCCACCCCCAACCCCCCCACCCCCCCTCCCCCCCCAAAAAAAAAAGTTTCTCATCATTTAAGGGAACTGTTCACTACAATAAGATTTTGTCCACAATCAAGATGATTACAAAATGCAAAATGATTAAGTACGAAATTATTTTTATAAAGGGAAAATAAATTGTAACATAAAACTCCCATTCTAAGTTTTTTAAAAAAATAAAAAGTATAGTTCTATTAACAAAGCACCAAATTGGTGCCATCCCATGTACAAAAAAATCACATATTACCCAAAATCTTTCACCCTATACAAATCATGCCCCAATATTAGAGAACCAAACAAGTGAAACCATGTATCCCTAAGTTTACCCATATCCCCTTCAACCCCTTCAAAAACTCTTCTATTTCTTTATTTCCAAATAATCTTAAATATAGTCAACAGAATTAAACCAAGAAATCTACCATTTCTACCAATTCTCTTCCAAGCCCAAATCTTCTCCCTAATTGAACCAACCATTACCCAACTAACCCCCAATAGTCCATAAACCATAGACCAAATGTGTTTGACTGCCAGGCAAAAAAGTAATAAATGGTTACACGTCTCCGCTTGGCCTTTACACATATAGCAACAATTCCCCAACACCTGCCCTCTCTTTCTCAACATATCAATCGTTAAAATGGCATTCCTGCTGGCTTCCCAAGCAAAGAAAGCAAATTTGGGGGGAGCTTGAATTTTTCATATTTGTTTTGCTGGAAAAGAGGCTATATCCCTTTTCCCCATCCCCAAAAGTATCTCATAATAGAATTTGACCAAAAACACCCCATTTTTCTTCGATTTCCATAAAAGCTTGTCATTTTCCACTATTACTTTCAGATTTGATAAAAACAATAGAAGGCTCTCATACTCCTCTAACTCCCAATCATTATGGTTTCTCATGACTGCTACCTCCCAACCCATTCCACTTCTACCTCCACCCAAGGCCTCTTCCACAGTCATGTTTTACATAACACTAACGCGTATATTCTTGGGAATCTCTCCTTTAGACAGCCCTCATCAGTCCACACATTATCCCAGAACTTAATTTTATTACCCCTACCCAACTTCCATCTTGTACACGACCCCCATCTCTCGCTTTCCAAACAAATATTCCTCCATAGACCTCTCCCCTGCTGTTAATAGGAAGAAGAGAAAGGCCAATTCTTGAGAATTCTACTTCTCAAGAATTTAATCTCTTGAGAACAAATGGTTCATAAGAATGTAAAACTTTAGCCAAAAGAGAAACCCTAGCTGACACTTCTAACATGTAAGTGTGAGTATTTAATGTAGGACAGAGAGCTCGAACAGAACACTCGAGAAGAATTAATAAGAAATCAAAAACACGATATCTCTGTCCCAATAATCAACTCAATATCTCAATAATGTTGAATAACAATAACTATAGTCTGAATAACAATAAAATGCACTGCTAAGTTGTATTGTTTCTAGACATCCGACTATATCTAGAATGATAAATAGGAAAATAACAAAAATATCCTAACAGAATAAGAAAAAATAAACTTATGCTAATTCTTTTGAAGTACATTAAATGATACAGGATGAGTGTAATTAAACTAGCTTGTCCCGTAGATGATTTGGAAATAAAACAGTTCACTTGGAAATAGAAGAAATTTAGGTCAGAAGATGAAAAATAAAGGTAACCCGAGTAAGTTAGAGATTAAGGTGAAGAAATATTAGGAGAGGAGATTGAATGGAATAAGTAAGAATAACAATCAAAAACAGCAAACACCTGAGAGAGGCAACAGAAAATAAAAATGTAGTAAAGGAACTTTTAGTTGGTCATCATTTACTCTTTGTTATTATTTCGCTGGTCTTTACAAGAAAAATATTAAAACAATTAAAGAGAAAATCAAAAGCTCCTATAACTTGAAATCTCCTTAAATAATCTAAATTTCTAAATAACTTAAAATCTAACCAAATAAGCTAAACAACTAAAAAACACTAAATAATAAAGAAGGCAAATATCAAATTTAATCCCCAAACCATAGTCAATTGTTAAAGTTTGATCCTAAATGTACTTTTTGTTACAATTTCGTCCTCGAACTTCTAGATTTATTTTAAAGCATTGCATTTGTCTAGATTTAAACAGGAAAACAGAAATACATTGATTCTTGTTTGGTAAACGAAAAAATAACTTAGGGAGGGAAAAAAAGGAAAAAAAGAAAGATCAGCATCTTCTTCTTCCTTCAGCTCTTGAATATTTGTAAATTCATCTCATTCCCAACTATCACCATTTCCACCTGCATTCTTAACCATCATTACTTGAAATTCCCATCCGTTAGCAGAGGCCAGTTTCTTCAGCTTCAGACCACTGTTTGTGTCCCGGAAACTCAAGAAAACATAACAATTTAAGAAAACAAAAAAAAGGCAAACAAGGTAGAATGCAATACGCGCAAACCGGTCCAATAACCTCTCAACTGTAGCTGGAAATTCAAGGTTGAAATTTTAACCCACTTTTCTTTTTCTACTGTTTCTCGGCATCCAAACAGAAATCATGGACAGTGGTAAAGCAACCGACGGGAAAATGAGAGCAACAAATCAAAATCCTAATTATTGTTTCTTTCTTTGCAGTGTCAAAGTGGCGGAAGACAAGTATAGAAGGTCTAATACCAACTAATACAGGACAAGGATCGGTTAAACTAATTTGTCCACACAGATCAGTTGGAAGTAGAAAAAAATTTAGGTGAGGAACTGAAGTGTAAAGGTAAAACCAAAGAAAGTGGAGATTAAAATGAAGAAAGGAGAAATAAACTGAATGGGATAGATTAGACACGACAATGATCAGATATAACAAACGCAAAGCAAGATAACAGAGAATGAAACTTTGCAAGAGAATTTTTACTTCAGTATTGTCTATTCTTTGTTAATAGTTTGATACTTACAACAGTTACCCGCTATATTTTGATGATATACACTTACCGCCTAATTTTTGTCAATTAAAGTCAACATAGCATATTTCTAAAAAATGTGTTAAATACCCTTCTTTATATATTATCATGTCTTTAACATTTCATTTTTTTGTAATTAATATTTTTCAATTGATATTAAATAACTAAAAAATTTAATTAACATATAACTATTATAGAATTACTTTGAATATTTCAAATTTATTTTAAGTTATAAT